ATCCTTGACAAGCTCAAGCCAACGGCGCTGCCTCATATTAAGCTCCTTCTGCGTAATAATATACTGCAGGCTCTTATGATCTGTGAAAATCTCACAGCGTCCGCCGTAAAGATAATGTCGCCAGATCTTCAGAGCATGAATGACTGCTGCTAACTCCAAGTCGTGCGTCGGATAGTTCTACTCATGAGGCTTAAGCTGACGTGAAGCATACGCAACGACCTGGCCGTCCTGCATAAGGACACATCCCAAACCTTGTCTCGAAGCGTCGCTGAAGATAGTGAAACTCCGAGAAGGATCGGGAATAGTCAACACCGGTGCTGAAGTTAACCTCCTCTTGAGCTCCTCGGAAACAGTAAAACTGGAATGTACAAGCTTAACTTAAAGCTTATACTTACTGATTGCATGACTTGAGAATCCAGTAATTTAATACTGAATAAAAGACTTGATCTGAACTGAAGATACATCAATTCACAATTAAGTGAATTGTAGAATACTGCTGACTGAAAATGGACACTTTTCTAAAAGAAAGTGTTCCACTGATAAGACATGATTTTAAAACGAAACTCTGAAGCGAATTGGTCATCCTCTCCTGGCTGCTGACGAATCTCCAATCGGAATGCTGGTGGTGAAGACTCTCTCTGTAATCTTCCAATGTACTGAGACTCAGGCATGGCATCTTTGAATGGAAAGCATCGGTTTGTCATCATGGCACGATCCGTTGTTGTCGATTGGCTCTTCTTCGTCGCGGCGTATGTCAACCTGTGGTACCTGCAACTTTTTACTCCCTCCGAGGTTAAACTTAACCTCAAGAAGAAGTCCATCATGAATGAATATCTCCCACGGTTTCTCAGATTAATCAGAATTTGAGAATCGGGGCGCTGACATACTGAAAATGATGGATAAGTCTTGTCTTATTAGACAAACTATCCTCGATCTTAACATGACTGGCCTGAATATTCTCATGACTGAATAACCATGACTTGATTCTCACATGACTGGATCATCTTTGCTCGAACTCTGAAACTATCCCGAGACAACTTAAATAGTCATTTCGAGATTGAGAACGTGACTTACTTGACTTGGTAAGGTGCGACTTCAAGTTTCCAGGTAAATTTGGACTAATGGTCTGTATATCAGACCGCCACATTTACCCGGCTGAACAACTATTATACGTCGACCTTACATCATAAACATAAATTGTAAATCGTGAACCTAAACTCTGTACTGTATAGGGCTGCTCCAGTATCAACTGGTCCCGCAAGTACAAAGTAATTAGCTGATCTTGATCTCTGAAAGTCATGACTTAAAATATCATGCCTGATAAAATATCTGACATGACTGACTTGAAAGGTTGTTATTACATGAAATCATACTGCTCCGGTTTCAGCTTCAAGCCTCCATGGTATACCCGGCTGAATGGCTATTATTTCAAGCCTCCACGGTAACCCGGACTATTGACTCTTATACACTGGAAACCGTTACCTTAACAATGACTTGAGAATTATAACAACCTTTAACATGAAAATTCTTGCCTTGAACATGATTTACTGATCTGATTCAGGAAATTTGAGTCTATTCCTCGAATTAAATCAAGGAATTTCTCCCTGAAGTCTGCCAATTGATTTGAAAAAAAAATGGCAGTTCTCGATAAAAATATCTGAGAAACATGATTCTTAAGATTTGTTTTGCACAAATGCTTACAA